TGAACAATTCTTTGATTACTAATATCTTCACCATAACTTCTCATTTGGCTAATTAAATCAAACAATCTAACTAGATATGCAGAGAAAGCTTCATTTTCACCCATTCTAGTGTACTCAAAATCTCATTGTAAGCCTTGAAGTTTCACAACTCTCACTTGTTTATCTCCCACAAACTTTTGCTTCAAGACATTCCAAGCTAAGTTTGCAATCTCTTGGATGGTGATTCTCAGAAAAAATTGATCGGAAACAGCCTCTTAAATGATTCCAAGTGCCTTGCATCTTTGACGATGTTCTCCTTCAATAGCTTGTCCTCTGCTGTGGTGAGTTCCTCCTCAGTCTTCGTCGGAGTAGCAAAGCGCTTCTCGACTATATCCCAGAGTCCATGGGATTGGAATATCGTCTTCATTCAAATCTACCAAAAATTGAAGTTGTCTTCATTGAACACTAGTGCTTAAATATCAGCACCACTTGATCCAGCCATATAAGACTCGATATCAAGGTCGCTGAGATTTCTTCTTTTGAATTTCCTTCAGCAACAGAGCTCGACGATCAATTTGAGTTCTTCACTACCGGAGTCACAGATTACACCCAATTGCAAATGATGCAACCTGGCTCTAAGGCCATGTTAGATTATGTGATTTATTGTACTGTGATTCAATGGAATGTAAAAAAGATTTCTGGAAGAAGGAATGAATAATACAAAGTACTTCACAATGATGGAAGCCTCACTGATTTCATTGAATTGTTGCTTCTCTCTCTTTTAACAGAATGAAACAATCATATGCCTTCATGACATCTATCCTATGAGATAGTTACAAGTGTCACAAAATATCACTAACTCTGATTTAATCTAGAGCATCCATTTGGAATATGATGCTCATCAGAAATGGCTAAACATATTTAAGCTAATACACTTAAATACTAACATCTCTATCAATTAAAGAATAGTTATTCCAAATGACGAGTGATCTACCTAAGGTCAGTTAGCTCTAGTCGTTGTGGAAATCTAAGAACAATATGTTTGGCAAGGGGAGCGAATGGATTCGGTAGAAAATGGTGACCCAAGCGGCAACATGGCTAGAGCAATATCTTAAAAACCAACCAACCAAAGAAAAACAACAAGTGCAGCAGCGGAAATGGTGTGCTCCTGACCCATGTTGGCTTAAAGTTAATTTTAATTTTAATAATGCATTTTGTGAGTCTATCGGGAAGCTAGGGTGGCATTAACTTCCACGTCCGAAATAAAGAATTAAATTTTGTCGTTGCGGCTACATCACCCTGTGTCTGCTGCTCCACCTCATTTGGTAGCTATGGTGGCTTGTAGTAATATTCAAACGTTGCTCACTGTCTGAGGCTATGACATATATAACATTGTCGAATGAGAAATTCTTGATTGAGATTGTCCTTTGTAGTAGCTAACTTACAAAAACTATGACCAGGTGGAGGTGACCTCTATGTGAGTGAGTTACCGCAGAGCTGCACATGACAGCCTCACCCAAGATTTTCTCCGTATGTCATGAATGAAAGCTTGACTATATATTTGGAAATTGGATTATCTATGTACTCAGCTGTCAACACCATTGTCATTTTCCAATTCTGCTAGCTATATCAATGCATTGACACTCATAAATTATTTGCTTAACATAGAACTTCTAATTAATTACCTTGTCCCACGCTCTTTCCGCGCTTTTCACACTCCACAAACCTATTTTTACACTGTTGTTTCCTTCAATAATTATTCTCCCTCCAATACCACATTGTTCTATCTTCCACCCCCCAAAACCCTCTCTCTCTCTCTTCGGGGAGATTCTTGAGGGCAGAGAAATAGAAATACATAAATATAATAGAAATTCATACATGGCTTCTACAGCCCAAAGTAGTCAAGCCCACGCAGCAGATCAACCTCCAACTCAATCCTTAGAGACCGACCAGCCTCGCCCCTCCTCTGCTAGCCACCCCCAGCCCGGGTACCCTCCGTCTACTATGAACTATGCTCAGCCTCAAAATGGGTATCCCCCACCCCCGCCCTACCATGGCTACCCTCCAAACGTCGGTTACAACCCTTATCAAGCGGACCCGAATGCGTATTACGCCACCACCTACTCTCAACATGACGAAGCCGCAAGCAGCTTCGCCCGCTGCTTCTGCATCATATTATTCCTCTTACTCACTGGAACCCTTCTGGCTAGCATCATCATGTTTGCAGTCGTTCGCCCTGAAAACGTCACTTTCAAAGTCGAGTCATTCGGCGTTTCCAATTTCAACATGGTCCCAGCAACCAAAGTAGTCTCGGGCAAATGGGAGGCCACGATGTCCGTGGAAAACCCTAGCTTCGGTCTGAGGATATACGTGGACAAATGGGAAACTGCCTTGTACCACAAAGATAACTTTTTGTCGTCAGGAGGGTCGTTCATGCAAGACATGCGATTGGACTCCAAGTCCAAAGGCACCATGCAGTTGAAAATGGAGATGTCCAACTCCACGGCGGGGAGCTCGTCGGTGGAGGACATGGAGAAGGAGCAGAAGGAAGGAGGGGGTGTGAGCTTCAACTTGAGGATGTCGCTCACGTACACAATGCAACATGGGTGGTGGTATAGTAGAAACTATAGGGCTGGGATACTCAGGGTGAAATGTACGGATTTGAAGGTAAATCTTCCGATGGGTGCAAGTAGTGGAAGCATGCCTGGTGGGAGCTCTAAGAAATGCGACATTACCGACGGTTGGTAACTCAACTGCTGCTTGAAATATATAGTCATGTCATGATAGGCGAGAAAATGGGTCGGATTTTTGTTTTTTATTTCATGATCTCATTAATGATGATCTTCTTTCCATGTCTTCATTTGTGGGAGATTATCTATTAATTGGTTGTATATTAGATGAAGTGGTGTTTTTTTTTTGAATTTAGAAGCCTCTGATATCTAATTGTTGTAGATACTTTAATTTTGTTAAATATTGGAAGATATCCCTAGTTCCCTTCCACAAACAATGAAAGAAGAGTAATGCTATTCATACCATATTTTTGTACCACATTTTCATACCATCTTAGGTGACATTTGATGTGAACAGCCAAATCATTTGAATTAATTAAATTTTTTAATTTAGTTCATTATTTAATACACTAATATTTAAGAAAAACTAGTTAATTAAATGATGATTGTGGTATACGAGGAGTCTTTCTCCTTCATTTCCTTGAGTTTTGAAAATTTTTCAAATGATGTGGATGTCCACATCAGATGCCACCTAAGGTGGTATAGAAATGTGGTATAAAAACATGGTATGAATAGCATTACTTATGAAAGAAAGATAGTGGGGCATCTTGGTATTGAGAGCTAAGAAATATAATAGTGGACATAAAAATGCATGCATTCTGTTAATGAGTAGTGTTAGGTTGTAGTTCCACACAACTCATAAAAATGTGTATTATAAAATAACTTACATAGCACGGGTACACCATCGTGTGTTGTTCATGTAATAAAATAAAGATATGTAGACAAAAACTTACATATATTTTTATTTCATTGGCACGAGATGTCATCGTGATAGTGTACTTGTGGCACATAAGTCATTTTTTAAAAAGAAAGGTGTTATTAGCACTTCAAAAAAATTACCCTGTGCAAAGCTTCTCAACAACCCTGAGAATTTTTCGTCTTCCCCTTTCTTCCCGCTAACATATATTCAGTTTGGATAAACAACACTGTGAAGGCAACCGGCGACATCTTCAGTTTGGATAGACAGCACTAGAGCCTTATAATCAACCGACCGATGAGCATCTTCAGTTTAGATAGACAACACTGCTTCGAGGTCGATTGATTATTTATCTAAGTCTCGGCCAATAAGGGTTTTCGAGTCTTTGTTGATAGAGGTTATCTCATTAGCCTTCTCGGCGAAGTGAGGTGTTACAGGTTATTAGGCTCGGCACATTGAACGCTAAGTTTTATTTTAAGATTGAATATTCACAAGTACATTTTAGAGTTCGGCATTCCAATGGCCGAACCACGTTTACCATCAAGACATTTATCTTTTTCGAGTATTTGTGTCTGTATAATCTGATACCAGTTCAGCGTACTTATACTTTCACGAATATAATTACCGAGACTGAATGTGGATGAGGGTGAGGGTGAGGGTGAGCTTAGCCTCACAATGAGCTAGCAATAATGTGGTTCAAATTTACCTTTGGTGATAATCAAACATATGACCTCTCACTTACAAGTGAAGAGAAATATTATTAGACTGTAGTACTAAATGGCAAAGACATATTGTTTTTACCTAGCAGAGCAGAATTATAGACTGAGGATAATTTTGTCTTTACATTTTACTTAAAACAAAAAAAAATAAAAAAAATAAAAAAAGACAAACAAACAAACAAAACTTTGTTTGGTAATTACTTGGAGTTTTGAATTTTCAAAATAAGTGAAATTAAAAATTAAAAATTGTAAATGAAATGTTGATCAAACAATGCTTAATAAACTAATCTATTATAAAGCTTAACCCACTCTCTTATCTCTTTAGTATAGATAATATCATTTGTTTAAAAATAAAAAATAAAAAAAAATAAAAAAAAATAAAAGGGGACACTTGATAAAAATCTAACAGATCCCAAACTATTTTATTTGGGCTTATACAAAATAATAAATGTAAGGCGCGTTGGAGCTTTAGTTTTCAAGGGCGTCGCTTGAAAAAGCAAAGCAAGCCTATTACGTTTGTTTTTAGCTCCTTTAATTAATATTATATTAATAAAGCGCGTGGACGATATCTTTTGTTTAAAAAACATGACACTTCATAAAAATCTAACGGAACCCAAACTATTTTATTTGGGGCTTGTTTACGTGAATGTGGGCTTTATATAGAATCCATCACCGATAGGGCAAATGGCAAGCCTGAATGAGCCCAAGGTCAGCCGTGAGAGTTGCCTAAAACAAACCGAGATAGGCCGTGTGGGGACGACAGATGACGACAAGATAAGTGTTGCCGCCGTGTTGAAGGGGCGCTAAGATTCCTCAATACGTTGCTTTCAACCCAACGTGCCGGAGATGCCAGCTTTTGGTTTAAGTGCTACTGATTTTTAATTTAATCTTTTCCCATCCCCAATGAAGTATTAATTTCTGACAACTTCCAACCATCTGTCAAAAATATTTGTTATTATTAACCGTTAATCTAAAACCAAAGCTCTCTCATTTGAAATGGCTGCTTCTTCGTCCCAAGGACAAGACAAGACTGTCACCGGCTATCCAGCTCCGCCGGCCCAATTTGCCGCCGGCTACCCTGCCGCAGCTCCCTACCCTTATGCGGCCCCACCGCCGCACCCCAACCGCAATAATTACCATCCCACGGGCCCACCACCTCCCTACTACAACCCTCAGCCCAATGGGCCCTTCAGGCGCAAACCCACCGTCCTCTGCCGCATCATCATCGCCGCCGTCGCTCTGTTCGCCGTCATGTCCATCATCTCCTTCATCTCCTGGCTCGTCCTCCGCCCCCAACTCCCCGAGTTCCGGGTCGAATCGGCCAGCGTCTCTCCGCTCAACGCGACTAGCTCCGAGCTAACCGCCACGTGGGACTTCACCCTCCTCGCCGCCAACCCCAACCACAAGCTCACCATCTTCTACGACCGCCTCACGGCCTCGCCCGTGTACGGCAGAGTTCCGCTCACCACGGCGGCGTTGCCTCCCTTCGTCTCAGGCAAGAGGAACCAGACGCGCGTCAATTTCAAGCTCGCGACGGTGGGGGAATACGTCGGCGACAACGTGGCGAGGGGAATCGCCGACGGGAAGGATCGCGGGTCGGTGAGGTTCGGAGTGTGGGTGGCGGCGTGGGTTCGGTTTAAGTCTGGGGTGTTTCAATCGAGATCGCGGTTGTTGCAGGTCTACTGCAATCGGGTCGAATTCACCGGGTTTGCCCGGAATAATGGGACCGGGACTTTGACGGGTCAGTCAAGTCCGTGCGAAGTTGAGTTATGAGACTGAGTAATCAGTATAAGAATACAAATAAGTTTTTTCATATTTTATTTTTCTTTTGTTTTTAACCCAAAAATTGGTGAACGTTATAAAGTAGTCCTTGTTTATGATTTTGGGCTATGGAATGGAATTGCTTTCTGAATCATAGCATCGTTTGTACTATTTTGCATATTTCTGTGTAGGAATTGGCAGAGTGTTGGTTTTGGTTGGATGATGTTTTAGGACCTTGCACTTTGCTTTTGTATAGATTAAAATTAAGCGTAGAATAGGCCGATTGCAAAGGGAATTGATTTCCGAACTCCTTTTTACCTCTACACTCGTGTACGAGGTTAAAAGGGAGTGCAGAAATCATTTCCGGTTAAAAAATCATCCTCATGGTGTAAGTCATATGTCAATGTCGCTCATATGGTGAAACCTGTTATTGTTCTCAATCTATCCGAATTCTATCCAAGTTTGCCAATACACGCGTAATGTGACCCTAAGTCACCTACAAGTGATGCACACATTGGTTCGAGCCAGACGGAATTTGGATGCAAAGTGTGATTTGAACTGAGATTGGTAAATAGGTTTGACAACTAAGAGTTATTTTTCCCCACCTGGCATATAACTAACCCTCAGCATGAGTTTTGAAGGCCTTTCCATTGTATATTCAAACTTTAGAGTTCAGACTATGAAGTATCTAATGTAGCTTGGTGAAGTTGTTCTTTACACCAACTCAATTTGTAGGGACGCATAAATTCGTTATTGAAGGGTTGATTGTGCCTTTACGATACACATTTGCACCAAGCATTAGTTTTGGAAAACTCATCTCTTTCTTCTAAAGACACCCTTGCCTATTACTCGTGAATGATATCGAAACATATGTCTAGTTTACTGTGCTTGAATGGCTGGTTGTAAAGTTAGTTTTGTGAATGAAGCTGTTGTATTGTGATGATATGATTATAAATTTGTAGTCAGTGTTATCGGGAAGTATACAAGGTTCTTAGGGAAGGGAAGGTCGATCAACGTGTACAAGGTTTTTTCTGGGGAGGGAAGGTCGATGCTAGTGTTTATCTGTTTGGTTTCAAACAAGGTTCTTCTTTGAAGTAAATTTGTTGGTATTTGTTCTCTCATAGATGCTATATATGTGCTTGTAGTGTAAATGCGGCGTTGATTGTTGGTCAAGTTGTACTATAGACAATACTGTTCGATATGGATTAAGAATTCAAGGGAGTGGTTGGGAAAAAATGTAGTTAGTTCGACTCATCCGAAGCATTTCTAGCACAATGTTAATGTTAAAGAAGGTTTTTATTTGATTTCAGTTGGAATGATTGTAAAACCCCTCCCCAAAATCTCTTTGTAATCCCACATTTCCCGTTAAAGTTATTGAAATGTGAAATTAGGTCCCTTATCCTAATCTAATCTGGACCCTCCATCTAGGTTTTCTTTCTCCCTCACGGTACCACGTGGCAGGCCCCTAACTCACCTTACCTTTCTCTTCTTTCCCGAGTCTCTCTCGAATCTCTCACTCTCAACTCTCACTCTTTCTCGAAACTCTTCCTCTCACCCCCTTTCCCGATCACACCCACGCACACCCACACCTCCACCTCGACGTCAACGCACCACCACCACCATCTCTGTGAACTCTCTCTCACTCCCCCTCGTCTTTGCAAGCTCCAAGACATCCAGAGGCACCCAAATCTCTCCGGTGAGCCCCGTGCCTCTCGCACAAGATTCTGGCCACCTCGTCCATTTTCCGTTGGATCTTAGGTACAAAACCTCTTCCCCACTCTTGTACCTTCATGTTTGTAGGCAGATCAACATCTTGCTGTCGACCGAAGCTGGGGAAGCTCTGGCGTCCTCTTCCCTGTCGAAACCAGGCTGTTGGGCCGACTCACCCAAAACCCAGTCAAACCAATCCCTTTTGGGCCGTGTATAGAACTCAAGCCTCAGGCCTGTTTAAAACCAAACCCAACCTTTTTATTTTAATTATTTAATTCTAAAATGCAAAGGCCTTTGGGCCTTAGGCCCGTACACCTTTTTCACCGTAAACCTTGGGTCGGGCTTCCAAAGCAGGCCCTTGTGTTAGAACCCACAAGAACCGGCCTTAGGGCCGAATGGAACTTGGGCCTCCAGCCCGTTTACCCTAAACCCTAAAACCCATTAGACCCAAACCCTTTAAGCCCAACCCGGTTGACCCGACCTAGTCAACGGTTAGTGTTGACTTTTTTACTTTTTCGAGTTTTCGTCTGAGACCTCTTCTAGGCTAATTTCGACGTCCTGGAACCATTTATGATGTCTGTTTCTCGAAATTCAATCGTTTGAATAAAGTTTTATTAATTGTACACTTTATGTGCTTAGGTGCGAATGTTAGCGGCGATTCCGTCATTCCTATTTCGTACAGCTCTTCTACGACGGAGTATTTGTGAGTGGACCCCTTCTAAAATGCATGTTAAAATAGTAGAAATGCATACATGAAAAGTATGATTTAATGATCACGTTTTAGATAACGTTTTATGAGTAAATTGGATTTACCTTGTATGATTATCATGCTTACTTAGAATATTTTGGAATACCTTATTTTCTATCGAACCCATGTTCTTTGTAGGATATCTAATGGATGACGATATACTATTTAGAACATGTTTTTACACACTTCTTTATAGTATAGATGATGGATGACTTTATATTATGAAGATGTTTTTGAGATATATATACACACACACTTATGTTTGGAAAGTCTATGTTCAATGTTTTTGTGCATATCTAGTGGTCATTGTTCTGCCTGCGGGCGTAGGTTGATGGCTTTGGCCAGGCGCAGGTTAGTGGCTTCGGCCGGGCATAGGTTGGTGGCTTCAGCTGGAATATACTTATATTGGCTTCGACCGGGCGTAGGTTGGTGGCTTCGGCCATATGACACTTACATATGATACCACTAGCTAGCACACTATATATAAGATATGTTTCATGAGAAGTGTTATGGCATGCTAGGGTTTTCAGAAAAACCTACTACAGAATATACTATTGAATTTCCATAAAACTTTGGAGGTTAGCATGTTGATAACTGTTTGATTTTTTATATATATCAACTTGGTCCACTCATGTTTCTTTTGCGCCCCTTCAGGACTTAGAATCGAGGCATATAATCCCGGCGTCAAGGCACTTCCGCATAGGCATCTTCGAGTCCTCTCGGTGTAGGACCCATTCTTGTATTCATTCTATTTTATATTATTTCTTTTAGTGTTCCAAATTAGTTGTATTCTCTGAACACGTTCCTCATTCATATTTTAATTATATTTAAATTTATAAGTCCTATTTATTTCTTGCTCTCATGCATCCTAAATGTCTTGTGTCACCTTCGGGTGTCGGCTAGCACGTACCTACCCTAGTGTTCGGGGAACATCAGGATTAGAGCGTGTCAATGATAATAGTGGAGTTATCAAATGTAAACTCTTGTTCTAGTTTTGTGTTTACATGTCTTGTTTTGTATGTACTTCTTTCCTAGCCGTTTTCCAGTTAAGGTACTCTACTTTGACACTAGATTGCACGTTTTCTCTTACAAGAATAAAACAAACTACTATTCCGACAGCGTTACAACTTCACTGTATTACACAATGTTAAATGTTTTCTCTTCGAAGAAGAACAACGGCTACTGCTCTGACTTGATTTTTAATTGTGTCAATACGCTATTGAGTTGTGCACACAGGGCACTTGTGATGCTACATTGTGGGAGCCAAAAATGATTACTCTACTAAATAAGCCAATAGCACACCAAACATGAGGAGTGGAGCTACAATGAAGCAACATAATACCCACTACATGGAACATGGAGAAATAGACGGAGAGTTAAACTTGGAGCCCAAGACTTGAATGCCTATAAAAGGGCAATAATCTCATCAGCATGAAGGGAGAAAAGAGAGGTATAAGATCGTTCTATATTTTACAAGCATTCTGAACAAATACTAACTTCAGTGTTGGAGTGTTTTTTTTCGCAGGTCCCCTCCTCCCTCATTGATGACGAGCAAAGATGGTGTTGTGGACTTCTCAACATATTTACAAGGTTTACTTATTAGAGGATTGAAGGAATCAAATTTTTCCACTCCAACAATTGACGCCATCTATGGGAATTTGTACAAAAAGCCGTATTTGAAAAGTCATGGTGTCACCCACACCACAATGGGGGCACAGGCCAACAACTTGAATAAGTTTTTCTATTCTTCTCTTTGCCCAATTTAAAACCCTCGATCGTCTCTCTATCCCCTATTCTCATTGAACTGGATGAAGGAAAGCACCATCACTATAAGACGTCGAAACCAAGAGCAACGATAAAACATGGGAAATTCTTCAGAGGGTAAAGCATGGGAAATTTTCAAAGGCGAAGATGACTCTTAACCGCCATCACCGTTGCCGTTGTTCTCTTCCTTGCCCTTGCGATTGGTGACGGGTCCCCCGAAGCCGATACGACTCGTCTACCTCTGACAAAAATGGGGAGTTCCTGAGGGATCAAGAAGATGTCTCCGTTGGTATCGTTGGTCATGCTTGCCAAAAAAGAGCTTTATTCTTAACCAGTTTTTCGGATTTCAAGTGGCATTTACACATCGCCCATGTACAAAAAGGCTATGGCATTGGAATGCACAATTTAAGAGAACTGCATTGGATGAGCCTAAATACAATCTATTACTATTGGATAATGATGCTTTTGATCAGACGGAAATAGGATAATGGAAGGATAACGCCCTGTGAATATCAGAAGCTTGCTTTGAAGCCAATTGAGGACAAAAAAAGGACATAGTTGCTAAAAATGAGGCACGAACAAAAAAGAAAAGAAAAGCCCAAAAGTGGGGAATAAAAGAAGGAACACTGCATTCAACCCTGTGTTGAGAAAGACAATTGCACGAAGTGACAATAAGTTCCTACATCTTGTTGCAATGATTTATGCAGGCTTAAGAGAGCAAGAGAAATTAAAGTGAAAATAAAGGATTCAAGGCATGAGACATCAAATTAGGTTTACAATGAAGAGATAAGTGGTTGAATAAGGTTATGGTTTAGCTTTGGTTGATTAAATTTGTGTGATGAGTTTGGGTACCCTACGGGATGCTCCATTTTCTTAGTTTTGAGGTTAGTGTTAGCATAGAGAAACATAGATTTAGATAGTAGCTGCTGACTCATGTAGTTATTGATTAGTGAGTTTAGTTTTTAAATTAAGCTTGTTTAATTCTAATTAATTATGTTTACTGTTGTGTATATAAGTCTGGGAGATTCCAGATTATTTAGTAGAGAATTACATTTGTTGAATTAATAAAAGAATGCTCTCTCTCTCTCTCTCTCTCTCTCTCTCTCTCTAGTTTGGTGTGAAAAAGATTTCAAGGGTTTTGTCATTTTCAGGCATTGATTTTGTGAAGATCCCTTTTTTTATGATACCAGAGCATGTTCTTTGCATGTGAAATTCAACAGTCACACTTGCTCTATGTCACTCCGTTTGTGTTATCCACATATTTGGTTTGAAAATTCTCCACAAGGAGACATTTTGACGAATCTCATGTTGATGAGAGAATGAACCTTAGACGAGCTTATAAGTAGTTGAGTTACTCCTCATATTATCAATTGGTTTTATATTGAATTGAAACACCAAAATTCATTAGTCTGGCTCAGTATTTGTTAATCCATTATTATTACACTCGTAACATGTTATTATATAGATCTTTGCATGTTTATGCTGTTACTTATAATGTGGCATTTTTGTTACGTACTGATGGACTCTGGTCTTTTTTACCTTCATTTTAGATCTTTTATCCACGTATTGCATCAAACCCAGCTCATACATGCTTTATTGCCCTTGTTCATCTCCCTCTTGTTGTATCATATTGCTGCCAAGTCAATGAAATAATCATGCCACATCATCCTGTTTTGAGTTTTATGTTCTATACTAGCTATTTGTACCCGCGCGTTGCTGCAGGTTTTTAAACCGTATAAAACATGTAGAAAGTTATGATGTATATACATGATACATATTATTTACACACGTGAAAAACCAATTACAACCTTAAAAAGATTGTTACTTCAACATAAAAAAAACATTTTGCATGAATTTTAGTAAGAACTAACTAATATATATCAAGGGATTCCCTCTAATGTACAATTTGCACAACTCAAGAATTGAAGGGTGATTGAAATAGTTTGCTCAAAAAGAAATAACATAGCTGATTTGACATGAAAATATATATGTTAACAACAGAACCATATATGTGAGGCCAGTTGATTTGACATGAAAACAAAAAGCGAAATTGTCCGCTTAAAAGTCACACATTATTGTTTAAGAAATATGTCAGCGCGTCCATTCTTCTAAGATAACGATGAATCATGGCCAGCTGAGACCTCATTTTCAAAGATCTCGTCTTCTAAATCAAATGTAATTTTTCTTGAAGGTAAATCTTTGGTAATAACCCATAACCCAGAACAATGTTTAAAAGCCAATTTATACACTGAAAACTACGTAACTTTACGTCTCTTCTAGAAGGTAACATTTTGTTCTAATGCATAACCTAGAACAATGGTCAAAACCCCATTCTGAAATTTTATCTGGGTACTAACTTCTATAATTTCCAAATCACAAAATTCCAGTAAGGGTATGCCGAAACACAAAATCAAAAATTCAATTTCTTTGGGTACAGGACAACATAAAGATTGAGACTTTTTTTTGTATTTCTACAACTCTACACACTTTCGAGCCCTACATTTTTCCGAAACAAACAGAAAGTGAAAGAAGTCGTACCTGGTTCGAAAGAGCAGTCGCTATTGGCGAGTTCGGTGGAACAGTGATGGCAGAGATCTCTGGTGAGAAGGCCAATAAGATGGACCAAACCATTGAACAAAAAAACCTAGATTTTTAAAATTAAAATCACAAAAATTTGAACAAAAAAAAGAGAACCCAAAAACGAAACCGAAACAAATATGTCCGAGAACTCACCAAGAAACCCAAGCTTTCTGGGTTTAAAATTTCTTCAAATCAGAATGGAGGCAAGCGTTCCTGGGTATGGCAGAGTGGAATTGGACTTAGATGAGGCAAATTCAAGGAATTTTAGTTTTGTTGTGAGAAGAACAACATGAACAACCCTTGAGGAATTTCTTCGAATCAGAACGGATAGACAGCATATGTTCTGGCTCGTGCAACATAGGGAGAGAGAACTGGAGTTCGTGTACCAAAAGGAGGACTACCGGAAGCAAATGAAAAGCCCAGCTTTGTGAGAGAAAGAAGTGGAAACGGAAGGAATATTCGGGATGTTGGAGAAGCGGAGCAGTCGACGATGATCGACGCGTGGGCAACGTGAAGAAATAAGTAAATCTACTGTGCCAAGGAGGAAAAACAACGAATAGCAGTGAAGAGAATAAGGGCATTTCCGTCATTTCACTGTTCATTAACAGTGCAAAACAGTACCGAAAAATTGGGTTTTAGTATATGTATAATTTATCAAGAATATTTAAACTATTCTAATCTATGTGGCGGGGGATTCGAACTTGAGTTCAATAGAGTGAGGACACTACTTAGTACTACGGTATAATGGTATTTCTTTTATTTGTAAGTGAGAGGTCTTATGTTACTAACTCATTATGAGACTAAGCTCACCTCCCTCATTATTAGTGTAGATAATATCGTTTGTCCCAAAAAAAAAAAAAAAAAAAAAAAAAAGGTAAGGACAACTTTGGTCAATGGGTCTAACCCATATACGTTTTATTTCAAGTCCTTTTATTATAAATACAGTATATAAACTATATATAAAATGACAGTTTTTCTTTCAGTTTCAATTGTCTAATCATTAATTTTGGTGCTTTGTGATGGTTTGGATAATCACTAGCTTCAACATTCAAGGCATGTTGAAAGAAAAAAAGAAAAAAATTTGTTCAAGTTGAAAGAAGAAAATAGATTAGTCATGAAATTAGAATATCAGCACTATATAATTTATCATTTCTTATTCCTACAAAATAAGAGATTCTTCTTTCTTACTTCAACATGCCTCGAATCCTATGAGTTATCTAATGCAACCAACTTCTAGAAACCAAATGAATCCTATATGTATAATCAATACATTTATCATTGTGACGATGTAAAAAACACGTGATAACTCAGAGCATGTGTACTTATTGATTAAGAAATTAGCTCGCCTTATCACCGATTTTAGAAAATCATGCGTCTTTTTTTTTTCTTTTTTTTTTTTTTTTATGCGGCGAGGAATAAATACTTTGAACTTGGACTAGCAAGAGTCTAATCCCTTCCTCCTATATAATTATCAGATTTTAATAGGCATCTTGGTTTCACCTATTGTTATAGTAATTAAGGAGTCAGTGGATGAAGCAATTGTGGAGAAACCTATTTGGCCATAGCCCAAATAACTCTATGAAACCCTTTGTTATACAAGTGACAAGGGAATTATATTTTATATATTGTAGTCTAACTTTTGATATGATATAAGAAACATGATAAGATTCCTAGACAACGATAAGTGTGTCCATATTTGTATATCTCCAAGTTGGACATGATTAGGACCCTGGTGTATGTTGTGGTTGAGATCGAAAGAGATTGACATCGATACTTAGTGCTTGTAAAAGTAATTGTGTTATCTGGGTTTTCTTTCCATTTCTTTTTCTGGGAAGGTTATAAATTTATAATGTCCCCGTGAAGAAACAGTTTGGAATTTTCTTAGCAAAAACAGAAGCAAGACTTGTTGGGTAAAAGCAATGGGCTTATAGCTTCAGCCGGTTGGGAACGTTCTCGCTTACTCCCAAGGTTTTCAGTTTGAATTTCCCCTCCCCGAAGAAAGGAGACTGAAAAATAAAAAAAAGCATTCATAAAGAAAATCCAAGTTTTGGGAGATTGATCTCAAATTGAGATGCGTTACGTTTATTGACAATTATTAGAACAATCATTTTTCATTTACTTCCTTTATCATTAGAGAATTAATTAGTAAAGAAACAAAGTCATTGTACTTCGCTTGAGTAAGGCTGATCTTAATTAGTAATAGTTTTCACATTTTGGAGGAGCCTTTACTTGTGTTAAATCTGTTTGCTTGATGATTATTTCTTAATTTGGTTTGGCTATGCCTTAGTTTACCTAAAAATTAAAGATTTATTTCATCCGAGTGAGATAATACGTACGAGTTACAGTTAACAAAATTTCTCAAGTAAGAATTATTTGACCAAAGCAGGAAAAGGTTAATTCACTTAGCAAAACTATAATACAAATATCAGACCATATAATTCTCTAATAAAATTGTGTTATATCATGTAGTTGTAACGAATCATACCTTTTGGGGTTACAAAAGGAGGCCAAATGAAGGAAGATTCAAACTCAAACCTAAAGGGGTAAATGGTCGATACTTCTGGAGATACAAACACTACTGCCCTTGAGAAAACTTCGATTAAAATTAAATTTTGTAAGATATACTGGAGAATATTAAATTAAACCTTGTAGATAGGTACGTAGGATCTCTTTTGTGCTTTGAAGAAGAAATAGTACAAGAAGGTCCAAAGGATGAGAACCATGTCCATGTGATGCCATGTGGAAAATACGATTCAAACGATTCTAGTCGTTTACACCTATTATTATGCAACATTTGTAGTCAAAACACAAAACAATGTTTCAACAAATGCACCTAATATTAGGCTGTTTCGTGGCCTTGAAGGCACATAGAAGTAATAGGGAGTAGAAACAACTACCCAAAAAGTAAAAGAAAACCCACAAGAACTTGAGTGCATCAAAAAGTTGGTTAGATGGCATGTCATTTGATCTTTACGCTTCTTTATAATTCATCGATGATGTTAGGAGACATAATTTAAAGTTGTTGCTTGCATCATTACTTATGATCTTCATCTCTAATTCAAGGAAAGTGTCTAAAATCCAATATCCTTTTTGTGCTTATTTGCAACATATTGAGTGTTTTTTTAACATAGATTTTGAAGATTAATCTTAAATGGCTAGTTTTGAATTTTTTTACTAATTTGTTCGCTTTCAAGGACTCCGGTAATACTATGGATTTCACTTCACGTGAGGAAGTATGAAAAAGTTGAATTCTAGAACATTTTCCCTTCATCATAGATGATGTTTCTCCACCTTTCTCAAGAGTAAGAAATGTTCATGAGCTTCCCAACATGTTTTGCATCCCCCTTTTTCTCTTCTCAAAATATGCTTTGAAGTTCATTTTCCATCATATTCCAACACCTTTTTTAAAGAAATTTCTCCCATGGGATAACTGGCAGATGCATCCAAATGATTCTATAGACTCATTGGCTCACCAGCTCACTATTTATTTCACTTTTATTGTTAATAGGGTCAGTCAGTAAGCTCTCAAATCCACTTTTAATCAACCCAATTAACTACGGGAATTATTAGTGGTACTTAAAAAATCTCATTATGCACTATTTACAAATGTATTTAAAAAAATATAAAATGTTTTTGAAATGCCAATAACGATTCCGTTAACTAAAGTCATCATCTTGTAATTATAATAGTGTGGTACCAAGAATATTATCCCCTTCTTTCACCTCCATGTCTTCTCTTACCCACTTTTTTCTCTCATTTTTTTGAACTTTTCCCTTATTTTTGAATGACCCACCAACCAAAGGTTCTCCTTTTCTCTCCCCAGTGCTTTATTCTACAACTTTTTCATTAACCTTGGTAACGAAGGAGAAGCAGAGCCACTGATTCCAGTCACATTTTAGCAGCAAAGCGCACGAAAACAACAAAACAATCCTTGGGTGCAAGTTGTATGAATGGGCCACTTGTTGCTTCCTTATTGGAGTGTTACACACTCACTCTCTGTTGGTGGCAGAAGGCCAAAATTCTTGTACGTGCAGACGGAAAAATCTATAAAACCAGTGATTTATAAGAACGTTTCTTCTCCACAATCCAAGTTACTATTTTAGCTTTGGACCTTTGCATCGACTACAATGGGGAGGTGAAGTGTGATTTACAAAACAATAATTCTAATGAACAATTGGGATTTGGTGGTTCAAGGAGATCTTGTAGGGACATTGTAATTGCCAAAGTAGGGGATAAGAATCAGCATGGATATCAGTGAAAGTGCAGAAGAGAATACCTTTGAGTAGAGAATCTAGAAGTCGCCATAGGCCACAAACCACCCCACCTTTTACGTGCATTTGGGATATCCTTGCCTTCTTTTTGCTGCCTTCAGTTTCTGCAAAAGTCTTATCCGATGCATTTTCTTCTTGTTTTAATGATAAACTGAGAATCATCTACAGAACTGGGCAAATGGCACTACTCCGCACAGTCACTGCAGAAAAATGTACTAGGATTCATTGGCGACTAGTACATAAGAGATGCAACACTTAGGAAAAACAATCAAAATTGGGACACAAGTCAGGGATACAACACCATTGTATCAACTAATTAGGGTTTGAGGTTTCCCACTATGTCCATGACTAAGGCTGCAATATTACTGCTGTTTTCTTTGGCAGAAAATTCGTAACTTAAAAATGGGGTTTTCAATCAGAAGGTTTTTTTATTTACGAATATGGTGTAACATAATAATACTAGGCACGGTTTCTCGTATGTCAAATAATTTTCGTTCAAGTTGATATATCATAGCCAATTTTGGAGAAGGATGCAGTTGTTACAAAGTTGATGTCATTTGAAATGTCTAATAAGAGAAAAAAAGGCCACTTACGGTCTAGTGGTATTTCTCTTCACTTGTAAGTGAGAGGTATTAGGTTCGATTATCACCAAAAGTGAAGTTGAACCACATTATTATGGCAAGCTCATTGTAAAACTTAGCCCACTCTCTCACCCTTTTAGTGTAAATACCATCATTTGTTAAAAAAAATTAAAAAAAAATGAAAAAGAAGAAAGAGAGTCGTCTGCTTTTACTAATGCCAATATGACAATGAAGGGATGGATTTTATGGAATTTTCTACAATTCAGGATATGAAATATTTTGGATGTTTTAACTATTAAATTTTTATTCAAAATATAAAAATTATGATTTAACAATTTAAAGTATCTTATATTTTGGAACACTATAGGACTTTGTCAATTTTATTATTTCATGTTTTAATCTTTTTGACTGTGTATGTTTCTTGGTGTACACATTTGATCATCAATCACCTTCTTTTCTGCAAGAGGTTTATATCTTGATGTTTGATTTCATTAGACTTAGCCAACATTTGACTCTTGCAACGATCAAGTTCACCCATGCGACTCTCCAAGAAAGAAAACAAATTAGCCCTTCTAAAAATATTCAACTTTTATGAATTATTTAATTTGTGCAAATTGATTGTGCATCGTTTGAAATTTGATTCTTTTTTTTTTCCTTTTTCACTTGGTCTCTGGCCTGTTACAAAAGACAATAAAATTATTAGATAAAAATTGTTTCCGTAGTAACACATCCAAAAAGCTAGAGACAAGGTGATGTTAGTAATATTACCAAATTTCTAATTTCTATATGCTAGGAAAAAAAATCATTTTGGTATAAGCACATAAAAACTTGAGATCTCACGTTTTAGATAATAAAATGAAGGGAAAGAAATGCAACGAATGAATAAACTACAATCGTTGATAAGTATTATCTTTATAGTAGTGCATGAATGACTGCATGACTATATCCAACATATTTTATACAACCTAATGTAGCTTTCATCAGAATTTGAGAGAGAGAGAGAGAGAGAGAGAGAGAGAGAGAGAGAGAGAGAGAGTACAAAGAGAAAAATTGAGAAACATGTGTCGTGGGTCGTATTGGTGGTTGAGAGGGAAGACTTAGACTTGGATGTGGATAGCATATGTGTGAAAGAGCACATCATCAGTCTTTTAGTTCGTATTTCATACTGTGCCAACCGACAATCGATTTCTGGTTTCTAGCCTCAATAATGTATAGGAGGATAGTTTGGTTTGGTGGTTTTAACTCTTTTTTTTATGTCTCACGCATTCTTTTCAAATTTCGACTGTTAGATCAAATGAATTGAAATAGACCAAATAATATAAATTAACAGAATGTGTGTTAGAGGTAAAAATAAGTTTGAAGATAATCCCACCCTAACTAAAATTAGCATGGATTAAAATAATCACTCTTTTTAAATCTTCTCACCACTAATAAAATCAACTTTCTCAGATTGTTGTTTTCTAAGTAACATTTTTGGAACCTTGAAAAAGAGAAAATAACAATTAAGGAAATGAACTGACGGAAGAAAGGCCTTAATTTTCTTTGTAGGAAAGAAATGGGATCTTTATAAAGTTTAAGCTTTTAATTAAACCAAAGAAAGTCTTGCTTCCTGATCCTAATTGATTCAAAGATAATGAAATTTTATCATCCACAACAAAATCATGCATTTTTTTATTAAACGAGTTGTTCTTACAGCGATGATCTTGTAGAGATTTTAACATACATGCGATCATAATAAATATACGCTATTAGGCTTGCTCTGGTGGCAAGTGGTATTCTGGAATCCAAAAATACATGTTGCTGGTTGGTTGATCCGGAGGTTTCCTCTGTCATGATAAGTGGGACCAACTGGTTGCAAGAGACGTGTCGCTTAAGCTTTTCCTATGTAATTATATTCAATCCGACGGTAGCGAAGGCTCTTTGCTTTTTGAAACACTTTTTTCTTTGTTAATTAGTATTAGCCCACGAACAAAGTCCTTCCTTTTTCTGATTACTGAACTCACAATTGAAATAACGTGTCATAAATAAAAATGAGTATATTTATCAACGTTTAAGTAATAAACCAATCATCAATTTCTATATCCTTTAGTTTCAAAATTTAGTGATCACCCTAACTTAATTTTTACAATTAAATATGTAATCATACATTATTTGATTAAAAATGATTTACATACGGACCATTATATTTTTTTTCGCATTCATGTTTGTTTTTGCGCATCCTTTTTTTATGCAACAGTATTCAGATTAGCCTAACTTACGTAATAATTTAAAGCATCGAAGCTTTCTTTCATAGAAGTCGATTCTGAGAGCTTTTATTTAGGCCCTTTGTCTTTCTAAATTTGATTGAGGAGACGGAAAAGTAGTGAGCTTCACTTTTTGACTAAGCGAGCACAGATAAATTATTAAATTATAGGGTCATTACTTACAATCATACTCATTATGCCATTTATATTAACAATGCAGATCGATGGCAGAAAGGATTAATGGACGGTTATTATATTGTATAGGATTAGGGAAATCACATTTTTAAATCAAATTTATAAATAAAATAATATCATTAATAAAAAATAAGCACATTAATCAACAATTAATTAATAATCAAATTATCAACAACCACATCATTTAGTTTAAAATTTGAGTTATACTACTCATATCATGTTTTTATACCACATTTCTATATCATCTTATGTGTCATCTAATGTGATAGTCATATCATTTGAAAATTTTGCAAAACCCAAGGAAATGAAAGAGAAACACTCCTCGTATACCACAATCATCATTTAATTAACTAGTTTTTCTTAAATATTAGTTTATTAAATAATGAACTAAATTTAAAATTTTGATTTATTCAAATAATATGGATGTTCACATCAAATACCACCTAAAGTGATATGAAAATGTGGTACAAAAACATGGTATGAATAGCATTACTCTTAAAATTTTGATCTCCCTAACATTACCTTATTGTATAGAGTTTAGGGCTCCGAGTTAACAACAAGATCTTGCTTAGTGAGTTGATCCTCTAGTTTAATTAAATAAACTTTAATGTATTTATGGATTAATTGAACACATTAAAATTTTGAAGAGATGGAAGGATATGAACCAAGCGTTTGTTAATGGGCAAAATGCTGCATGTGGGTAAGCATGACAAAACATTTTTAGCTCCATTTGTTTGAATAAATCCAAACAAAGAAAACGATTGTTCTAACCTGTTTCACTATATGGGCATCTTAGCTAGGGCACACCATGCCGTAAAAGTAAATTGAAACCCACATCCAACGAATCCAAGTTATTTAGATGTAATCATATATACGATAATAAACTAAATTAGTTGTTCTAATTAGTAATTAGCCTGCTCAAGAGGCACAAGATGACATGGGGTATTTGTGTAATTTAATTGGTTAGTATGAACACGTTGATATGGTTGAGTAATAAGGAAAAACTTTTCAATAAATAATGCCTTGGTGCTGAAGATAGCTGGGTCACCCATTGCCACTACCTTGCGATACTATGGCACCAAACAATCTAAAATCTCCCAGTCAAAAAAAAATACTTAAACGAGTAATTTATTGACTTATATCTCGTATCAATTTAGCAATTTATAGTACCTAAAATGCTGTTATTATTAATAACTCAAAATTTATTGATGGATATCGTTATTTTTATCAAGAGTAATGTTAGAGAGATTAAATTTTAAGATTAAATTTGTAAACTAAATAATGTGTCACTAATAAAAATAAGCATGGTTATCAACATTTAAGTAATAAATCAATCATAAACTTCCATGTTATTTAATTTTCAAAATTCAATTTTCCTATCATTACTATATGATATGAATTTATCTTTTTATGCAATTAAAATATGCATTTTGCCTCATAGTTAGTGAAACCATAAAATGTCTCTAAGCACATTACAATTTACACCGACTAACTTTTATATATTTGCTTTCCCCCAAGCATACATACATGATCCACCACATACTTCCATCATCATCGTTTGAAAAACCATCTAAAATATTATAATATATAAACATACCCACACACACATCGCTAAGCAAATCTTATTGCTTCATCTGAACTCTGAAGATAATCAGAGAGACAGAGACTACAAGCTCAACTCAACCATCTTCTCTACTCTCTCTGCCACACCAACCGCCATGTCAACGAAGGATTGTGGACTGCATCGCCAAAACAAGCGGCGGATGATGTTCCGCCGCTGTTGCGCTGGCCTCCTAATCTTCAACTTCATCCTCCTCGTCACAATCCTCATCGTGTGGGCCGTCCTCCAGCCCTCCAAGCCCCGCTTCGTCCTCCAAGACGTCACCGTCTTCAACTTCAACACCTCCGCCTCCAATGTCTTCTCCTCCAGCTTCCAGGTCACCATCTCCTCCCGAAACCCGAACGACAAGATCGGCATCTACTACGACAGGCTCAACGTCTACGCGACCTACCGTGCGCAGCAGATCACGTTCCCGACGCTCATCCCGCCGGTATACCAAGGCCACAAGGACGTCAACATCTGGTCGCCGTTCATCTACGGCACCGACGTCCCCATCGCTCCGTACAACTCCATCGCTCTGGGCCAGGACCAGAATGCCGGGTCGGTTCTTTTGCTCATCAAGATGGACGGCCGGGTCAGGTGGAAGGTCGGCACCTTCATCTCCGGTCGGTACCATTTGTACATCCGGTGCCCCGCTTTTATCGCTCTGGGTTCCAGGACCACCGGAGTTGAGGTCGGTAACAACGCCGTCAAGTACCAGCTGGTGCAGCGCTGCAAAGTGACCGTATGAAGAAATTGGAGGCAAAACTGATGTGCCGTTAATTATTGGTTTAACGCCGGTGGCTGAGTACCTTTTTCTCTCCTTTTTATTTTTATTTTTAGCTTCTGAATATCTGTCTTTCTCGAATATCTTTTTCATGTATATTTTGCTATAGAATAAATATGGAGGATGTTATGATATAGACGTATAGCAAAATTGCAGTCGGTGGTAATTGAATTATAAGTTGTATAATTATATAGTTTTATTAAATATCATATGAAATCAATAATTATGCATTTTATTTTGGTCACATAGCAATTTGGGTGCAAGTAAAGGTTGAGGTGTCCATGTTATTTTATTTCATTTTCAATTCACCCATTTAAAATTTATATTGTTGCTTGTTTTTCACTCATTTTTTTGTTGTTTCTCTCTCACTTTCTCACATTTTTTTTATACTTTTTTCCCTTTTGGAAATTGAATTAATGATGAAAACTTCTTAGCCTTTCCTTTCACTGACTTAGTTATAGTACTTAGGTGGAAAGTATTCCTCATTGATTTAAAAAATTAAACTTCAAAAAAGAAAAAAAAAAAGAATCCAACTTTTTCATCAATATTTTTTCTGATTCTCACACATGGGATTGGTCTTATTATACATAGTCCATCTCATTTTCTTGTGAGAAGTTGGAGAAAACAGAAGCCAATGAAAAGGAGAAGAATATTGAGTGCATATACATTGAATGAGATGAAATGTTTGCTTCTACATACGAGTGGTCCTCCTAGAAAGTATGTGGTGATGGGGGCATGCCATGGGTTTCATGAGTTTATATAAAATTTAAAGATAAATTTATAAACATATGTTTTACTGTCGACCCGAAGTTAGCCAATTGGCTAAAACAGCGTGCTTCCGCTACTACAACCGGGTTTAAATTCTCCTCCCATTGTGCCTAATGTTAGTTTAGTAAAGTTTAGAAAATTTGGATGGGTCTGGGGGTGGTTTTATCTTCAACAATCGACATGGAAGCGGTAGTGGTGGTCCTTTTCATAACCCCTGACTCATCACTTGCTCTTTCTACCACTAGTAATTGAGGGATGCATGGAAAGGGACTTTTTGTTATGGTAAAATAAAGAAAACTTTAATGAAAAGTTTTCAATACCGTTTATTTTAATAAAAAATTATATTTTTACATTAAAAAATTAATTGTATTATTCATATTACTATTTATTTTGTACTTATCGTTAAAACTTAAAGTTTTCAAGTCATTTTCATTAGTTTTCCTTAAAATAAAAGCTTAATAATTAATGAAGCTTCCAAGAATGAGAGATTTTTCAATGTGATCGGAATACGGAGTGGTACACCACATGTTTTCATACAAATGGTGGGATATGTGTGTTAAAAAGTTATTAAGTTAAAAAATACAATTTCCCACTATTTATATAAAAACACGTGGTGTACCATCTGTATTCCGGTCACAAACGAAAAATTTCTCCCAAAAAGGCGCCTGCTCAATGCATGCAATGCATGTTAGAGTGTTTGTAAGCCTGACGTATTGTTGACGCGTGTGAAGACAAGAGTGTCGCATACCTTCATGATAATTTTGAATTAAAAAACACTTACAGTATAATCTTTTTATTAAAATGAAAAAAAAAATGTTATTGACACTTCAAAAATCTCATTCTACACTTCTCACAAGTGTATTTTTCTTTCTAAATATAAATTGTTTGGAGTGTAGAATGAGAATTTTAGAAAGCCAATAACAATTTCCAAAAAAATCTCTTTTTTTTTAACAAATGATAATATCTGCATTAAAAGAGAGTATGAAAGACTGAAAAGTGAACTAAACTTTACAATGAACTTGCCATAATAAGTCAAGTTTTGGTCAGAGAGAGAGAGAGAGAGAGAGAGAGAGAGAGAGAGAGAGATGGGTTTACAGTGACAACAAATATATCTGAAAATATAATGTTTGGGATTTCTTAGGGCCTGTAAAGGAGGATCTAGGAACCACCGAAACGTGTACTAAAGAAAAAAAAAAGGATCACATGCCAACAACTTATTGATTGCTTGCTAATTTATTTTAAAACTTAAAACTCCTTTTGTAATTATTTTTAATTTAGGCTTTGGGTTATCAATTTTTCTTTTAATTGAAAACCAAAAGTAGTTAGCAAATAAGTTTTAGTTTTCAATACGATGAAAACTGAAATATAAAACCTAAGAATTAAAAACTGAAAATAAAACGCCTGCAACATGAGGAAATGGAGTAAACATGTTACATGTCCCAGCAAAGGTCAAGATTTTCCTACGGCTTTTTGTGAGAGAGGGAGAGAGAGGCTTTGATCTTGGGGTTGGTTACCTATGAGAAATGTTTCGGCTAGACCAGCTTCCTCAGTTGTAGGCTGAACCCCTTTGATCTGTACGTTTCAAGCTGGGAGGTTTCTAGGCCCAAAATACTTATCAATAGGAATTAAGGCAAATTCGGAAAAACTAGGTTGGGCCTAGTATGGTCCATGAAAATGGATTTATCTCAAGAGCCCTGTTTTTCATTTGCACAATCATAAATTTCGAATCCATTTTGATAAATTTGTTTTTTGAAGTTCAAAAGCTTCTTCTTTTTTTTTTTTTTTTTTTTTTTGGGTCAAATGATAGATTTTATTATATTAGATGTTAGATTAGCCACCGACGGAATTTGAACCCACGCCTTCATGCAAATGCTCAACTTCTTTCCACCACTGTTGTAAAGGGCCATTTGCTTGAAGTCTAAAAGTTAAGCATACTCAAATTTGATAGACTAGCTACAGTACTAACAAATACTTATAGCTCGTTGGAAATACTTCTAAAATAATTGAAAACACTTAAAAAAAAAATATTGTTTTTGGGTTTTAAAAGCACTTGAAGTGCCCTCCTGAAAGAAGCATTACTAATGTGCTTCTTCTAGGAAACATTTCAAGTGTTTTTCCAGGATTCACTTGCGTTTTAACTAAGAAATGGTTCCAAAAACTTTTTCACCTTCAGTTATTTTAAAAACACATCCAAAAAAGCTCTTAGCATAATAGTATTGTAATTATCTGGCACTCAAATGTGCTCTTTAAATGTCATTACAACATATCTAGTCATCAAATAATAAGTATTAAGTACTTGTAAGTAATGTAGTTAAGCACGCAATAAACTTTTTTTTTTAAATAAACGATATTATCTATACTTATGGGTTGGAGAATGAGTTAAGCTTCATAATTGGTTAGCAATAATGTAATTTAAATTCACATTTGACGAAAATTGAACCCAATACTCTTACTTATAAGTACAAAAAAATAACACTAATTGTAATACTAAATGACTTTCTTTTTCTTTTTCAATTCAATTTTCTTTTGTTAGCTCACTTTTCGGAGAATTTTCCAACTACCTATTCAGTTATTTTTCGCCAACTTTGTAAAATAGATACCTTTTATTTCTTTTTATAGGCAGTTACATCGCTAGCGACAAAGAAAGCTGAGGGCTCGGATGGCCCACTATTTGCCCTTGATTTTATTAAGTATTGAAGGATTTTTTGAGCTTGAGGACAACATTATTTTCTTTGTTCTTGCCTTCCACTAATTGACGGAGATATTGTAAAAGCGGGTCCCCTTGGTATTTCCTTTCCCGCATGTTCTGCCTATTCTTCTTCAACTTGGTGTGATTTTATCTCGTAAGTGAGAGATTTTTCAGTATGAACAGCATATAGAGTGGTATGTCATGTGTTATTATATGAATTGTGAGAAATGTGTGTTAAAATGTTAATAACTTAAAAAGTAAAATTTCTCAGCGCTTAAAAAAAAATACCTAATTTATCACCTGTGTTTCTATCACAATGAAAATTTTCTCCTTGTAAGCAGCTTTGATGCAACGTTGAAATGTATCTGATGTGATTCCGACCCAATCAATGTGGAAACTAGTGGCATGGATCACAGGTCATGATTTCACAAAGTTGGACTTGGCCGCAAATAGCTGTGAACAAAATATTTTAAAAAGTGAGGGAAGACTTGGCAATGCACACTTTACTTGATTGTCAAATCTATATAATATTTTGCATAAAATTCAACACTAAATGGAGAAGATTGAGATCTCCTCCAAATTTCACACTCTGAAACCAACAAATCTTGTAATTTGGACCGTTCACAAGAATGATGAAGGCATTGGAGAGAGAGAGATGGGGGTGTAGCTTTGTGTGTGAAATGAGCCAGTAAAATATGACTAATGGAAAACGAATAATATAAATCGAATTGTTCAAATAGTTGAATTTGTCGACTTTGGAATGTAAGATTCGAAGAGGATCTCAATCCTAGAGAATGGTCATAGTTTTTGTGTGTATATATTGTTTGTGCTTCGTATATGTGGCTGCTCCCAGATCAGATTGCTTTATTAATATGACTAATTATCACATGGCTAGAAAAGTAATAAGCTTCATTTTCTTTTTTTTTTTCCTTTTTTTTTTAAAGTCAGCCGTCAAATATGACCGTTGGTGAACTTTCTATTTTATCTGAATTGAGTAAATCGACTGCTGATTGCTTCTTTTTCTCCGTCTTTTTTATGCTTTGTTCTTTTAAATTAGCTTAATGCAAATGCTTACATGGCTTAACACACTATTGTAATTTGCAAGTTGTTCTACAAGATCATCAACTTGATCATTTTTTAAAGATGATAAAAACAAATGTGACAAAACCATTTGCTTTGCTCTTTTTGTTTAAAATATGTATTAGATTTGGTAAACAATTCATTTTTTTTTCTTGGTGAAGAAAAAAAATAAGATTATTATTAGCATTTATGTAACCTAACGTAAACAAAAACGTTTTATATAGCCAACAACTTAAGCACAAGTGTAAAGATTTCCTATTCCCAAATTCCACTAATTACTCTGCAATTAATTCATATTTTACATCAAAACACAATAATACGAGTATATGGAGACTAGTATATCAAAACAGGATTTGAGAATTTCTTCTCACATGATTTAAGTGTAACACAAGATTTAGCAGTTACATTGTTCCTTGTAATCTTGTGAATTTTTATAAGCTCGACTTTTAACGAAATGCTTGAAATCTACTTATTTTTTTGCAATTAATCATGTTTTATCGGACGATTTTTAGATATAATTTGCAAGGAGCTTAGTCGGTCAAGAGGCTTCATTCATAAATATCCCCTTTGTCCCTTGGGCCAAAAGTCAAGTCAAGCAATGACAACGGAAGCTACTACGAACCACCTCAATTCCCCAATGCTCACAAATCACCATCCCTCCACACGCTGATAGTCTCTTAAACAAAGACTTAC